ACATTTGTGAACCAAATGGGTTTTTCTAACAATTGGTAATGGTTTCGAAGTCAGCAGTTGATTCTTAATTCCAGATTTTTTTATTTTATTGACTTCAAATTTCATGACCTGCTGTGGTGGGATTTGAACCCGGGTCCCCAGGACATTCACTGAGTTTCTGGATTAATAGGTCCAGTAATAATACTACTAGGCCATCACCTCCTCATTCTTTCAAGGAACATAGTACAGTCAACATTCAGCAGATCACCTACCCTTCAAAATGGCACTAAGCTTAATGTTTTTAAAAAACCTCGAGGACAACTCTCCCAATATTCAGTGACCCCATGTCTCCCAATGTCATAGAGATCTACAGCACACAACAATGTCCTTCAGCCCATTGTATCTGTGCTGGTCAAAAACAAACGCTTAACTATGCAAAGATTAATAGAAAGAGGCCCATCTTCAACCCTATGCTAGCTTAACTGCTAAAGCAGTCACATTGGCACAAGTTTCTGGGGATAAGCAAGGAGAAGAATGAATCCGTATCAGTGCTGCATGATGCTTGAAGGATAGTTCACTCTCTGGGGTTTAGGAGGGAGGGAGTGGGTGTTATATGATCAGCTTATCTTCAGCTGATTGAATGGCCCAAACTGGACCACAGTGCTGGAGAGAGGTGGGGGTGGGGAGGCAGCACTGGGTCATCAGTCCTTTTATTAAAAATCTTAAATAGTAGAGCATTTATTTTAAGCAAGAGAGCAAAATATCAAATCAGTCCAGAGAATATGAATGAATTCAGGTTCATTTGGATGTGTTTAGGACTGATTATCTGTTCAGCCACAATAGACTATGTATTTTACTGTGAAAGTCATTCTGTACAAGTGAGTAGTGTTCATTGGGTGTAGAATGTTCTGAACCATTCCATTTAAATGTCAGAAGAGAGCTGTTCCTAAAGTCAATTCATTGCTACTTCAGACAAGCAGAGAGAATGCTGGAGAAACTCAGCAGGTCTGGCAGCATCTGTGGAGACAGAAACAGAGTTAATGGTTCAGGTCTAATAAAGATTTTCTTCAGAACCCTATCCAACCCCAATTCAGAATTCATGAGTTCTCAAGAAGAGTCACACTAGATTCACAATGTTAACTCTGTTTCTGTTCACAGCTGCTGAGTTTCTCCAGAGTTCTGCATTTGTTTCAGATTTCCAGCATCCACAGTATTTTGCTGTTATGTCTTTACTATTTAAGGTAGGACAAGGGACTTTCTTTTATATTTCATCTCTAGCATCTCTTAATTAATTCTTAAGTCTTGGGCATTGCTGTTAAGGTTGGCATTTACTGTTCATTTTCATGTTACCTCGCAAAGTAAGTTTTGGAGGCAGGATGCCTTCTTGATGTGTTGGACATACTAATGGTGATGGTGCTGGGAAATGGCATGTTGAATCCATTCATCATGAAGAAATAGCAATACACATCAGATTCTGGCACAGGCCGTAGCTTGGAGATGACAGTGTTTTTGTTGTTGACTTGGGATGGTTTCATTGTTCTATTTCCACATAAACCATGCCTCTCCCTCCCCTGGTGAGCTGAAATTCATCATTTTCACTGGGTATCAAACCCAGGGAAGAATCATGCATTAGAGCTCAGCTGACTGACCAGAAACCTATCAGCCCAATTATGTCTGTTTTATGTGTGTGACCATGTTCAAATCGTGTGTGTGTGTGCGTGTGTGTGTTGACACTTGCTAGGGATCACCCAGACACCCAAACTGCAACTGAACCCATTGGTGTTTGGCAAATAAGTAAAGCACTTCATTCTGTGTTCTGTTGATTTCTTATACCACCGTTGCTGTAGCCATCAGGGTGAACTATACTTGAAATAAAACATTTAAACTCTGGGCACATTCTGTAATCTCTGCAAGGAAAGTCAGGAACTCAAAATATTGATTGAAAATTACTAGCATTGCAAAATGTGTCTTCCAGCAAGTTAATGACTCTAGTTCCTATCTAAACTCACACAACCACAGTAAAAATGCTGATAATTGGGCCGAGTTCTGGGCTCCACTTCCAGAATTTGCAGCTTGTGATTGAGCCAAACAAAGGGATTGAATTCCCAACTCCACAGCCTCAAGGACTCCGGGTAACCTTGGAGGCCACCACGCTGACTGTGAAGAAACAAGAACTACACCTCACACAGGCAATTTGGACCAATTAATGGCATTACTCCCATACTAATGGGTGTGATGGGGGAGGGGATGATGGGTCCTTAGCTGTGAACCCTTCATCCAAATATGGGAAGTTGTACCAAGCAGTTCAGACCACCAGGATGTTGTGGGCACTAATTAGCTGATGATCCCCTCGGCCCCTCCCTCCAGGAGAGCACTAAAATAAAAATGTCCTAAATGTCACATTGGAACATTAGAGACCTTGCTTCCCAAATAAGGACCTCAGTCCCCAAGGTTCGTACTTTGGTCCCAGTTGGGGGATGGGTAGAATGAGAGATATTTTTATTCCCTCCACTGTTTTGTGCTTGGGCCTTGGTATAAATTGGGTCTTGCCTCGTGAACCTCTTCACTACCTTTGGCCATCATGATGGCCATGTTTTCAGCCACCTAGACCCCAAACTCAGGAATGGCCACCCCTTAAACCTCCCACCTCACCTTCAAATCTGCTGTTTTAAGTGAAACATTGGATCAGATCCCTGTTATTCTCTTGTGTGGCTCTCTGTCGAATTTTGTTTGTGAACATTCCTGCGGCATCATTATGGGATGTTTTATATTTAAAGTGCTATATAAATGCTGGTTGTTGTTGACTTCAGTTGACCACAGCTACAGTCAAAAGCAAAACTCGCCTATGGTTTGTGCAGCATGAAGCAATTTTAATGAATGTAATTTTATCAGGTTGCATTTGAAGATCATAAGGTAATTGAAATAATGCTGTAAGATTAACTTAAATCACAAAGAGTGACAGTGTTACAAACCCAGGACTGAGAATTTGGGGCTAAAATTGGTTTAGTGCTGGAGCGAGTCACTATCAACAGAAAAAGAAGTCAGAGTGTAAATGGCCAATCGTTTTGCCATTGCTGCATCACTTTCCAGGTTTAATTTAACCCCACAGCTGCCTCAACTACACTTGCTCATAAGGCAGACCTGCCTGGACTCTGTTCCATTCTTCATTCCCATCATTTCTGTTCTGACAATGGCATTTCTGAGTGTCCTTTCCAGAGGTTTCCTCTTTTGCACCACCCGTCCCTAACCCCCAAATTCTTTATGATTGACAGGACCCTCAACCCCTTCTGCCCTCACCCTGTGCCCTCCCTCCAGGAGGATGATAGGATTCTCCTTGTCCTCACTTTCCACTGCAACAGCCTCCATCTTCAGTAGACCATTGTCCACCATTTCTGCCGCCTCCAGCAGGATGCCACCACTAAACAAATTTCCCTGTCCTCTCCCATGCTTGCACTCCAAAAGGAATTTTTTGTTTATTCATTCATGGGATAAGGGTGTCACTGACTGGGCCAACACTTATTGCCCAAACCTAGTTGCCCAGACAGCAGTCAACCATGTTGCGGAGAATCTGGAGTCACGTGTAGCCCAGACCAGGTAAGGAAACCAGATTTCCTTCCCTGAAGGGCATTAGTGAACCAGATAGGTTTTTCCTTTTTGTTCCAACTGACTCCCCACTCTTCCAGCAGTATAAAGCTCACCATATATCTCTCTCTTTAGTTCCAAAGAACACAGTCATACTGGACTCAAAAGGTAAGTGGTTTCTCTTTCCACAGCCAGATCTGCTGAGTTTCTCCACTTTCTATTTTAGATCTGCAGCATCAATACTTCACTTTTGTTAATTTATCCCCATTTGAGTCTGTAGAATATTTAGATATGATGAAACATTGGCCTCAATTCACTCATGTCTGCACTCATCTCCGTATCCTCATTTAGCCCCACAGACAGCAATTTCAAGGCACAGAATAAAAACAAAAAATTTGTTGAGCTATGTTGTGTTGCAAGAGTTGCAAGTTATTCCCTCTAGTTGCAGAACTGAGAACAGTGTAAAATCTAGGTGCTTTTTTTGGGGGGGGGAGGTGGGGGAAGATGGGATTTTACAAACTATAATCTTTGAAGAATACCTTAAACTTGCTGGAAGGATTCCATCAGAAGAAATTTAACCCATTCACACTCCCAAATGATTCTCCCATGAATTAATTCCAGCAGGGAGTGGTAGTCACAGGAGTTCACATCTACTTATGTTTCCATCTGTCTGAATTCATGACACCAATGGAGTTTCACCTTTAACCCACGAGCATCTGCTTGATACTTACAATGGGGTGGGGGGTATTTTAATCCTGGCATCTCCAGCTTTGTGGTGATTGATTTTAATTTCTCCATTTTATTCAGTTCATTCTCACAACAGAAGCTTATTTTTCAGGAACTGATAGTGTTTGACGTGGACCCTTATTAATAAATTTCCATTCTCATCCCCTCTCCCATTGGTCAATAACTGGGCTTCAGCTCATTTGACCCTGACCTATATCTGGGCTCTGGCCAATGAACCTGACCAATAGCTGGGCTCTGGCCAGTGTGACCGGATGTGGGCTGTGGGCAAGATTGATGCCCAAACAGTCCTAATTTCTTTTACACTGAGTAGGATGCTGGGCCACTATTGTGGGTCTGGAGCTACATATAAGCCAAACTGGGTAAGGATGTTAAATTGCTTTTCCTAAAGGACATTAATGAACCAAATGGTTTTTTAACCACAATTGGTATTAGTTTAATGGTCACAGTTACTGAGACTAGCTTTCAACTCCAGAGTTATTCACTGAATTTACATTCCACCAACTGCCGTGGTGGGATTTGAACCCATGTCCCTACAGCATAGCCTGGACTTCTAGATTACTAGCCTAGTGACATTAGCCACTACTTGTAGCCAGCACATCATTGGTTGGGGTCTAATTTGCATGCGCTGTTTCACAATATGCCACATCCCATTTTGTTGCATAGAATTCCCAAAATTATTTAGAATCTTTAAAGACTCTCAATCCATGACTTTATTCGCTAACCAGTGCCCACAGCAATGATACTATATGGAAGCTTAAAGGATTAATGATTTACAATTACATCAATCTATAGCACATTCATTAAGAGTTCAACCCAAGAATATTTTAACATGGGGGGGGAATGCGTGGGGTTATTGATAGGGACTGATATAATAAACAGAGAGCAAATGTGGAACAATGCAAACCCTGTGAGGAATTGCCAAATCAGCAAAACATACACATGAGAAGAAAGCAGAGCTGGAACCCGTCTGCTTAAATGAGGCAAGATCCCAGCCTGGAGGATTCTACGTTGGATCGATATTGTAAATTATTTGGTGAATATCATCTTACACCTCTGGAGTGGAGTGATCCATCTGGGACACAAGGCCCGAAGACATCCTGCAGGAAGATCAAAGGTGGGATCAGGTCAGAGCAACATTACAATAACTTACATTTATATAGCACCATTAAAAGGTAGTAAAATGTTTTGAGGTACTTCACAGGAGTGGAAATCAGACAAAAACTGACACCATGCTACAAGAGAAAAGAGATTAAGACAGGTGACCAAGCATCAAAGTCAGGTTTTACCAGAGTAAAAGACAAGCGTGAGCTAATTTGAGTCAGGAATTCCAGAATTTAGGGTCCAGGCAGTTAAAGATAATTCTGGCTTCTCGTCAATCTTCACTTACTGCACCATGGGATTGCAATGGTGGTGGAGGCGGGTACAGTTACAACATTTAAAAGGCATCTGGGTAGGTATATGAATAGAAAGGGTTTAGAGGGATATGGGCCAAATTCTGGCAAATGGGACTAAGTCAGATTGGGATGTCTGGTCAGCATGGATGAGTTGGACCGAAGGGTCTGTTTCCATGCTCTGTGGTTCTAGCATTTTTTAATTCCAAGTTTCTATTGAATTTAAATGTCACCATCTGCCATGGTGGGATTTGAACCCATGTCCCCGGCACATTAGCCTGGAGTTCTGGGTTATTAGTCCAGTGACATTAGCACTCCACCATCCTCCCCTGCAGCAGAGTGAAGACCAGTGTAGGTCAGTTAGCATTGGTGATTGCCATCATACTATCATTATAACTGTCTGAACGCTGCCACAGCACCACACGCTCCTTATTTGCTTACTAACCTCTTCACCATGTGCTCATAGATGATACTCGGCATGACAGTAATGGTGACTGCACTCCCAGCAGCGGCCAGGATATCACCGACCTGTGAGTCCTGTAAATGGAGAAATAACTATGAACATAAAGGCTCAAGTGTAATAAATATTCAGCGTACCTCTTCACTTTGTAAATTACAGGTACTGATAGGATACAGGTACAGAAATCAGAATGATTGTGGGGATGGAGCGATTATGAGGAACAATTAAATGAACATCTTCTCACTAAAAGAGAAGGTGGAGGTTAATAGGATTGCTGCATAATTACGGTGACAAACCTTCAGACCTGGTCCAGAACTGTCGAACTGGAGAACACAACTTACATTTGAACTGGATAAATTCAAAAGTAAGCTTTTGGAAATAGTACATCAGTGAGCAACTGGTCAATCTTTGTTGGGTTTGGCCTGAAAAGTGCTAACTAATGTTCATATCACACAAATGCCAGGCAATGGCCATCTGCAACAAAACAGAATCTAACCATTGTCCCTTGACATTCAATGGGGTTGCCATCACTGAATCCCCCACTGTCAATATCCTGGGCGTTTCCATTGACCAGAAACTCAACTGAACTTATCATATAAATACAGTGGCTACAAGAGCTGGTCAGAGGCTAGAAATACACTGCGAATAACAAGCCTCTCACGATAATGAGGTGAAAATATATCACTGTTTATTCTGTTAAAATCCTGGAACTCCCTCATTAAAATCAAGTTTACCATCCACCTAACCATTTTGACACACTCTGTCACTACCAAAGATTTGTTCACCTTTTACATGTTAAATCATTACTTATGATCATTACTTCTCAGTTCAGATCACCACACTCAAGTAGTTATTAATCAACCAAGTAGCCCTTTCTATCAGTGTTTGAAAAGGGACTTTTTTCATTTGTTTGGCTAAGATATTCAAACATGGACACTAGATGTCACCTTTAGCACAACTCCTGAATTCCACGTGATCAGCCCCTTCTATTTAGACTTACAATGATCCTTTTAGAAATCATTCTCAGAACATGGCTCAGCAGTCCTTCCAGTGCCATAGAAAATATTATTCAGTGACAAAACAGGATGTATGAGTCATTGGTATATATTGACTGAAAGATCCAGTCAGGCTACATGTTAGAGCAGAGAGTCAAAGGGGAAACAGCAGCCCATGTTGGTGCATCACAGCACCACCTGGTGAAAGAAGCAGAAAGTACGAGTGAAACAGCAACAACAGTGACTGGTATCCGAGGGCAGAGCTGCCAAATCAGTGTGTTGCAACCGGTAATGCAAGTTTCCTATTACTGTTGTTGCAGGCAATGGTTTAGTCAAGGAAAACTGCGGTTATTACAGGAACAGAATCATAATATTGAAGATACAGGAAATCTGAACTTAAAGATAAGGTTAAATAAAAACCAAAAGAACTCCGAATGTTGTAAATCAGGAACAAAAACAGAAGTTCCTGGAAAAGCTCAACAGGTCTAGCGGCATCTGTGAGGAAAAGTCAGTTAACGTTTTGGGTCCGGTGACCCTTCCTCAGTAACTTCTGTTTTTGTTAAAGATAGGGCTACTATGACAATTAACAGACTCGAAGAAGCCATTCTAAGTGAGCAAGTTAGCTGTTTTACATCATCTTCGCTTGTGTGTGACATGCTGTCATTTGTTAAATTTTATTTAATCTGTAATTACTATAGAATCTGGCACTCTGTGCTGTGTATTACTGTTTCTGTGTATGCTGTGGACTTGGGCATCTAAGCTGAACTTAGAAGCTTAGAAAAATGCAGCTTGACATAAACACAGAGTATAAAATGTGTCAGGCCAAGTAGCAATGAAGACTGTAAATACAGGGACTTGTCTCCATTGAGAAGCATTGAAAAATTGTCCACTGCTTATCGTTAAGATGGCAAAGGAGAACTCTATGGCTTCTGGGGATGCACAATATTTTCGGAATTTTACTTGATAAGTCCAGCTTTTTGGTGTTTGTCAAAATAAAACAAATCACAACACGCACCAAAGGAAAAGAGAAAAATCTCTAACAGTAGATCATTTTGAGGCAACAAAACAGAGTTGAGGGACAGAACTACCCCACACCATCACTCTCTCTCTCAAATTCCTTAGCAACTAGACCTGAAGCAGGGTGGGAGGGGCTTGCAGAAGAGAAGAGGAAAAGGAGACAGCATCTTTGATTCTGACCAGTCGTCAGTAAAATGGAGCAACTAGGTCAAATTATCCTTAACAATGAGCCAAAACCCTGTCAACATCTCTGCTCCTATGATGCTGCTTGGCCTGCTGTGTTCATCCAGCCCTGCCCCTTGTTGTCTCGGATTCTCCAGCATCTGCAGTTCCTACTATCCCTGTCAACATCTCATTGGCTTCATCCCATTTCAGCCAGGAATGCGTTGACACAATCAAGGGTGAATTCTTAGAAGAAACAGAAATTCCAGTTTGAAAACAATTACCAGTATCTGAAGGCAGACATGGCCACTTTGATTTTAATTATTCTTTTGTGGTTGTGGAAAAATCAGCTTTGTTTTTTTTTCTGTTGTTTTTCATCTGCATTTTGTGGATGTGCCTTGATTGGATGAGAATTACAAAATGATATTGTGGAATTGCCTAAAAAACATAATAAAACTTTCAAAGGCATTATATTAGATAGCAAAATTTGAAACTCAACTACTTTTGGAGATGACCAAAAGTTGGGTCAAAGAGATTTTGAGAGGTTTTAAAGGGAAAGTGAGGGAGAGAGATGCAGGGGTTTTGTTTCGGAGATCTTGATACCTAGTTGGGTGCAAGTAGAGCCACCAATTGGCGGGGGTTAAAATCATGAATAATGAACTGGTCAGGATTCAAATAGTGCAAAGATTTCAGAGGGTTGTGCAGATGGAGTAATTATAGAGGTCAGGAGAGGCAAGGTGATGCTAGCTTGGCTTGGATAAGGCTCTCAGCAGCAGATGAGCTGAGGCAGGGACTGAATGAGATGATGGTACGGAGCTGAAAGTAGGTTACTTTAATGATGGCATGGAAAACTGATCAGAATTTATCACAGGGTCAAATATGATGCCAAAGTGACAGACAGTCTGAAACGGAGAAAGAGGAGAGGCATTATGAAATAAATGGTAAAAATTTAAATGAGTTTTAGGAACAGAGGGGTCTAGAAACATAAATAGACAGATCTTTGCTGTGATTTGCACTGCTTCACAGGCCTGACTTTAAAATGGAGACTTGCTTATATCTGTATGATCCAGTTCAAATTATTCCCTGTCCTTCAACCCTCCTTCATCAGAACACTACATCTGGATTAGAGTTCTCATGGGCAACACTGTGGGAAATTGGCTCATCAAATGTTGTATTATTGGAATGACTACAGAGTCAGGCTATGTTATTAAGGTTCCTAAAGATTTTGGAAATATTACAATTCTTGGAATTACTACAGACTGTAAACTGTTGTAGTTTTTAGGTGAACTGTGACTATTAAGGTTATTACAGGTTATGAGTAAAATTAGTGATGAGTGAAACTATTCAAGTTCTGTAGATTGTCTCTTACCTTCAGTCCAATGATGTTCTGGCCATTGATCTCACAGACATAGTGATCAGTTAATAATCCGTTCCTGGCTGCAGAACTGTCTTTCACGATGGAAGTGATTTTTCCACGTTTGTAGATGAAACCAACATGTCCAGTGCTGTCCTTGTGCATGGTGATCGTTCTCTGGAATGGCCTTGGGAAAGGAAATAAACACAATCATTAAAAAACTAACAAGGATTTATATATGGCATAGAAAAAAAAAACAATTACTAGTCATATAAAGGCTGTGGACTGAAATGTTTACAGTATAGATGCTGTTAAACTGGAAAGAGTGCAGAAATTATTTACAAGGATGTTGCCAGCACTGAAGGGTTTGCGTTATAGGGAAAGCCTAAGCAGGCTGGACACTGCTTCCCGGGAGCATTGGAGGCTGAAGGCTGACCTTATAGAGGTTTATAAAATCATGAGGGGCATAGATAAGGTGAATAGCAAACGTCTTTTCCCTAGGGTAAGGAAGTTCAAAAGTCGGGGGCATATTTTTAAGGCGACAGGGGAAAAGTTTAAAAAGAACCTGCGGGGCAAAATTTTCACACAGACAGTGGTTTTTATGTGGAATGAGCTGCCAGAGGAAGTGATGGAGGCTGGTACAATTACAACATTTAAAAGACATTTGGATAGGTACATGAATAGGAAATGTTTACAGGGATATGGGCCAAACGCAGGCAAGTGGGACTAGTTTTAGTTTGGGAAACTTGGTTGGCATAGACTGAAGGTCTGTTTCTGTACTGCATGTATCTATGACTCTATAACTGGTTTCCATCAATTTGTCTACAATAGACATGAGGAGAGGAAAATTTTACTGTAGAGAACCTTTGGAACAATTGGTCCTAAGTCACCTTTTTGTTCCAATCGCATTATCCTTGGAGGACACAAGGTGGGAATGCAGCTCTTGGAGTTGAATTCCAGGTTTTGCAGAGCTGAAGATGTTTGGGAATGGAATTTCAGAGCTAATGGTCTAAAACAGATGAAAGCTGAAGCCACGGTGACCAACTGTGGGAAATAAAGTTGAAGGAAGCAGGACATAGAGACAGAGGTGTTAGAGCCCAATCAGATGCCATTTGGCTCACTGAGTCAATACTAGCTCTTTGTTTAGCAATCCATACATCGGGATGGTGGGGAATGCAGAGCTGTCAGGCAATTGTAGGCTTGAGGAGGTGAGGGATGCAAGTGTTGGTAAGTGGGTTGGGGGTGGCAAGACCATGAAGTGGTTGCTGACCTGGGGCTGTAGATCAGTGAGCACAGGATGATAGGTGACTTAGACTTGGTGCGAGTTAGGACATTGGCAACTTTAGGATGAGTTGAGGTTGGCCAGGAAAACATTGGAATGGATGAGTCTGGAGGTAATGCAAACATGGAGGAGATATTTTGCTATGATGCCAGCTGATGTTGTTATTATACAAATCAAACCCCAGACTGAAATTTGGCTTGATAAATCATAGTTTTGGTTTTAAAGAGATGGTGTCTCACTGAAACATGAGCATACAATGTTGCAAAGTTGGTTTTAACAATAAAATAGAAGTTTATTTCACAAAAGACATAAAGATGAAATAGAATAAACCCAAACTATTTACATATAAGCTAACAAGGTGTAGAGCTGGATGAACACAGCAGGCCAAGCAGCATCAGAGGAGCAGGAAGGCTGATGTTTCAGGTCGAGACCCTTCTTCAGAAATGGGGGAGGGGAAGGGGATTCTGAAATAAATAGGGAGAGGGGGGAGGCAGATAGAAGATGGATAGAGGAGAAGATAGGTGGAGAGGAAACAGACTGGTCAAAGAGGCGGGGATGGAGCCAGTAAAGGTGAGTGTAGGTGGGGAGTTAGGGAGGGGATAGGTCGGTCCAGGGAGGACAGACAGGTCAAGGAGGCGGGATGAGGTTAGTAGGTAGGAGATGGGG